ATTTTTCACTGGTCAACTGAATGGGTCAACTGACGTTTCACGTTTGCCGTGAACGTAAATCTAAAACTCTCTATTAACCAAGTTAATAACTAAATATAGACTTCGCATTTAWAATGAGCAGCATTTGATAGAAAACCTTCTCAATTGATAAATAAAAAARATACTTAATTACCTGGAAYGTCGGCAATAAGCCTATACATCCCTCGGGCCTGCGCCCCTCGAGAAGTATATGGCATATTGCCTCCATTCTTGGTAATTAACTCTTACTTTGTGGACTTGCACTTTAGAGGTCACATGACCCCAACTCGTTAAACCAAGAAGTGGTCTCAAAATGAACCTCAGAAATGGATAGAGCACCTCAAAATTAGTGAGACGACAGTGTTYACTGGTAATCTCATCGCCAGCTCTCAACAACGGGGACCCAGCTGGTTCGATTGCTGGGCTCAGTGTTGTTCTCTCCTGTGCTTCAAGGATTTTATCCACTTTGCCTCCATGGTTAAGAATCAACATCTAAATTCTAATGCTCTTTAGGCTTTCACTTAGTAGTTTGGAGCAGATCTCATCTGTTGTGACTATCCCAGGCTGTGATGCAATAGCCATTCAAGCTTAATAGAATAAACTGTGTCTTTTTCTTTATAGGACATAGTAGCCCATGGTTATGTGGCCCATAAACCATGTTCARAATTCTTCGAAGCTGAAATGGAGCGCCTCTTCCAGGAAAGAAGGTTCAATAAAAAAATCCTGGATGCTGGGGCGGGGACAGGTCTTGTAGGACAGCACCTAAAGGATCTAGGGTACACTGATGTTGATGGACTGGACATATCTCAAGAAATGCTGAACATTGCATTTGATAAAGGGATTTACAAGAATCTGATCTGTKCACCAATCAGTGAGAAGAAGATAGATCAGATCCAGACAGGTCAATATGATGCACTCATTTCGTCTGGTACAATCACTATTGCACATGTCAAACCTCCTGCACTAGATGAGATTGTGCGACTTGTTAAACCAGGTAAATCTCAKTTGTTAAAGTTATCAGAATAGGGTGCCTGCCAGAAAGTAAAGTTCAAATTAGACAAAATCATGTTTCTCCTAATTATTGTTCTTACCTGGTTTGCACAATGTCCAGAAGTATTGTTATGCTATATTTGCTTGGGGATTAAACAAGGATTATCTTGAAGTATCATAGAGCTATATGTCTGCTCTCTTCTCCACTAATTCTGATCCTTCTGAGAAAAAAAGGATGTCTTCCACTCCACTTCTATCCTTACCTTCTCTCTGTACTGTCCTATCCTCTCCTTTCCTCTTCAAATATGCTTGTGAAATGCCAACTTAACTTTTATAGCATTTCTTGAAGCATACGCAATTTTTATTTGCTTTCCAGGTGGTATCATTTGCTTCACTCTTCGCCAAGATGCTTATGATACTGAGAGCATGGGCTACAAGAAAAAGATTGACGAACTAGCCTCAGCAAAGAAATGGGAAATGATCAAAAGTAAAATAATTGTTTACCATGACAAACCTGATGTGAGATTAGATAATTGTTATTTGTTTACCTACAAAGTTTTGTGACAATTCATGATAACAGAAATGCTACCTCTACCTTGATATGTACAGGCATGACAAGTTTAAAATAATAAAAACTTTATTAGCTTCAAACAACATTGATTGATATTCATAGGGCCTTTCACTAGAAGAGGGTGGTCCCTGAAAACAGGGGTTCCGCCGAACCTACACAACCCTGCAATATATGCATGTCGTGCGTTTAGATGACATACTCGCAATCATCTTAGCTGGTAAGATTACCGGTTACCAGTCGTTTCGCACAATTGCCTTTTCGCACGAACCCGTTCGCACAACTATCACCTGTTCGCACAATTCCAAGAGTCGTTTAGCACAACTTTTATATAACTATATATATGAAATCAAAATTACTTCTCTAATCTTTAGAAGTATGTTTCTTTGAAAAACAACTTWTATATTTGATAAAATTAATAATAACATGCGTTTTAAGTGCTTGTTTCGATAGTGTTTAATAGAACGACCTCACTTCGTGCGTTTCCGTTGAAAGATCGCTCCCTCTTCTTATGTGAACATTCAAATTCTACTTCTTAAGCACTACACTTTATTTTTTGACTTTATTATTTGCACTAAAAAAGTAAGACGAAATGATCTATTGCTTTTTTGGAATAAATTTGAGGTCATCATCTGAATGTAAACGCCAAAAACTTAGMGATTGAGTGGAACAATCGAACTCAGTTTACGGTGTTTCATAGGCCGGGGTCTTTTCGCTACTAATACGTTTTTAGTCTCCGTAAAGTAGTTTGTTSAAAACATTATAATATCCTTCTTCTTCATCGAAAAATCGAATGTCTAGGACATATTTATTGCTTCTGACTTGCCAAGRTTMGTGCGAGAAAAACCTTTACGCTTTATTAAACAAGCGACGCCATGTTGTTTTCGTGTAATCAACAAGCTTCCTAGTCGTTTATACTGACGCTTTCTTTACTTAGAATCCATTAGACTTCATTCTTTTCACTAATAAAGTTAAAGGAAAAGATATGGTGCTTTGAGATGAGAGATGTCGTGCGTTGCTGAATCCGACATCTACAAAAAGGATATTGTAATGTTTTCAACAAACTACTCTACGGTCAGACTTATTTGTAGCGAAAAGACTCTATGAAACACCGTAAACTGCGCCTGATTTTTCCACTCAGTCGTTAAGTTTTTGGTGTTTACATTCAGATAATGACCTCAAATTTATTCCAGATAAAGGCAATAGATCATTTCGTCTTAGTTTTTTAGTGCAAATAATAAAGTRTAATGGATTTCAAGAAAAGAAAGCGTCAGTAAACGACTAGGAAGCTTGTTGATTACACGAATATGGYGTCGCTTGTGGATCGATGTTTCGCGTATAAGGTTTTTTTCCCTCGAACTTTGGCAAGTAAACAATGATAAAGAATRATAAAGCTACCCAAAACACACATTTTATRGATTAGAGTATGGGAAAATAAAGTCATCCGAGTCATAAGTTGGTAGAAACGGACTCGATATGGTAGCTAAGTGAACGCTGTTCGGTCGCGTTTAGACCTCCACTTTCACTGATCGTATCGTGAAATGATCGCTCCAAATATGCTTCAAAATCATATACAAATGTCTTTCAAGAGACTATGTTTTTTTTAACAAATCGAAGTTTTGTTTTGGTAATTTCCAATGGTAGCGAAAGGACTTCAAGATGGTAGCGGACTCTGTAGCGAACCGACGGTAGGGAAAGTACGTGGTAGCTAGTTGTCGATTTCATTGTTGACTAGTCGTAAAACTATTATTTTCACACTTGTAACAGTTCGTTARCCTGACTCTCTTTCACCTTGAGATTCTCATTAACACTTTGGAGAAAATAGATATATGCTCAAGCTTTCGACAAGCAAATAAATAAACAAAAAGTTTAATGGCGATTAGTTGGCAAGTTTCAATATTTTCAAGATGGCGGCGAAAACGAGAGAGACTGTGGACGAGTATTTTGGTTCCCAAAGCACGCGGGGTCCAAGTTTTCGGGACCCATAAGTCCTTTCGGTCATTGTACCGTTACAGTCTCTAAGCGTGGAGACGGAACGGACGAGCGAGAGACTGTGGAAGAGTCTAGAGGGTTTCATCGTAAATTAATTAGAATCGATACCTGGTTTGTTGTTCTAATTAGATAAATTGGAACAATTAATGGGAAGGCTAATAAACATGAAAGTGAAATTTGATACTCTCTATTCACTACTATGGAATSAGATTTTTTCAAAATGTGTAATTGGAGTGATGAACAGCACTGTAAACTACATCACTTCCAGTGTTTAATATTCTGATACTTTAAATTTTTGCTGTCCTCCCGAGGCCTTTAATCAAGTTTTCTTAAAATCAGGGTCAAAGTTCATACCGTAAATCCTCTTTTTAGCCCCCCTCCCCTCCCCACCCCCTTTTACAACTAAAGAATGACGTGTACTGATTAAAGGTGATTTATTAAAGTCTTGGTTGTTCAGAACATTTCTTTTTAGCTTGCTTTGTTAATGTTACCGTGTTTTAGTTTTGCTATTCACAATAATCGTAAATGATACTTGAGAGACTAACACAGGTGAATCAAATAATAAAAATGCCATGTACATCACTACAGATTATGCGAGAMGGTCAATAGTAATGCTTCCGTTTAATCCTGAGTTACAATCATATTACATACTGCGTTTCGACTAAATCAATAAGCCCCCTCTCTCCAATAAGCCTCCCCTCAAACGTGCCTGAAATAAAAAAGCCCCCCGGGGGGCTAAATAGAGGATTTACGGTATGTGCTGTTGCAACGGTAACTTAACGAAAACGTACAAACTGCCCATCTACATATTCAGTCCTGAACTCAAGTTTCTACAGTAAAATAAAACCACATTTCCACCCCTTTATAACTTTATGGGCGAGGTCGTCATAGACCCATGCCTTCTCCTTGTAATGACCAAGAAGGGTTGCTTGCTTACTCAGCATCAAATCCACACAGCCCTTTTTTGAGATAGCGAGCCACAGGCTGCTCGAGCTATTATCCTGCATGTGGTTTAAAAGACAGTGATATTTTTACAAATTTCTTCTTTTGGGTTTAAATAGCATAAAAAGCTTTGATATCAACTCCCAGTGGAAACATAAAGGTTAGTTAACATTAATTGAGCGTTTAAAGCTAAAAGAAGAAATTTGTAACATTTGTAAAATATCACTGTCTTTTAAGCCACTTGCAGGAGATTAAGAAATAGAAAACGCGCGCGCGTGCTGTGTGCTGTCATAAAGCGGGGTTAGTAGAACACGAGAGAAGAATTTTAATAACCGTTATTTTGGATAGGAATGACGCAACTGAAAGTGCGCGCGCGTGCTGTGTGCTTTCATAAAGCACGCGCTCCCAACAAATCAGAACGCCAGATTTATCAATAAATTTGTATTCGATTGTTGTGAACATGTTTCAGGTAACAAATTGTTTTACAAACGTAAGGACATTCCGAAAATTTGGTCAAGTGCGACCCGGGCCTCATAACAGTTATTTTGTTCATCATGCAGTTTATGGTGTTGTTTCTACCTAGACCACAATGCATCCTGTTTATCGAATCCAGAGAAGGCCTATTGTCCGCATTCTCATATACGGTAAATGATCCCTRAAACTGGGTATTAGCGACACGTCGGCAAGCAACTGTGCATTTAAGAAGCAGTGGTTATCAAGGTAAGTGGATTTTTTTTTCGTRCACACGCAGTGTTTGTACGCAGTGTTTGCTACGACAAGGAAATACACGGTCGTGTCTTAAATAATCATTTTGCATTATTGGCTAATATCGCCAGTCGAAATAATGCCAACGAAGTCCTTAAAAGAGTTGAATTTATTCAGTGGGGTGGTGTAAATCCCTTTATAAATAGAAGGCTAACATGGGTAATTAGAATTTTGTTCTTATACAGCGCATTATACATGCGTCTCGATGCGCTTTACGATCTTTAACTTTCAGTYGAGAGCTTCACGGGCTGCCACTGGCACGCAGCTTAAAACATGAGAAAYTTGAGAAGTAATTAGTATTTTATGTCTCAAATAGGAATAGGCTGTTGAACACGGAGACAATCCCATACTCAAGTTATGCGCGAATAGTCCAACTTAGGTTCTTTAATGTTCCACTATACGACCCTAGATACTGGTTAAGGAAGGGTTGGGAGACAGGGATGTGTTATGTCTTGAAATCTTGAATTCAACAAGGCAGCACCTTCTCTTCGGTTATTCTAAGACCCTGACTCGAAGTCCCTTTTTGCATCTTATTTAACCGTATAGTCTGTCTCTGGAATGCCATTTGTAAAAACAGCCTCTCCTAGATTTTGTTTATCCAGCCTTTCGTCATTTAAATTGTTTCTAAAGCTGAAATACTGCTTTCTCCTTAACAGTGTATTTGATATCGACTTTCCTCGCACATGGTCACTGGTTCGCCGCGAGTGTCCGTGTCACAGATAATAGWATATTTACTTATTTTCATTTATTTCTTCCWCAAGGGAGTGCCTAGCCCTAGYATGGGAGTTAGAGTTCCGTTCGCGCTCTCCCTATTGGGTAGCCTTTCACATTTACTTTTTCCAATTATGTATACATGAACCTTAGTTATAGCTATCACCCAATAAAGTTGTAAAAAAGGAATGAGAAAAAAGTTAGTCCGGCCGGAGCTTCAACCCACGACCTTCCTCGCGAAAGTCTGATGCTCTACCAACTGAAATAATGCCCTGGACTAATAGTAATATATTGAAAGTCTAAAAAAGCTGTTCAAGGAGATGAAATGATGAAAGGAAAAGAAAAATACAAAAGTATATTTACATAAATGAAAAAATAATAAATTSGAGTGTTCACTGTTAGCGTATAAACAGCAAAACCTTTCATTACTTTTGGTGTTGAAAAATRCTCTCGTCTGACATGTAAAAAGATATCCAAACTTATCATTGCTCAAAGCTGGATAACGCCGATGGTCGATAGAAATCTGACCCGTGGCCTGCATGATATGCGTTCTTGGCTGGCAGCCGAGAGGATAACCCGTTGAACTTATCTAAATTTATATTTTTATAAAGCCATTCCTCACGTAATAGACAGCAAGAGAAAATGAACTAAGAGAAGGAATCTCTGGTATTCATGTTTGAAGCCATCATAGGGACCGTTTGATGCTAATTCTATAATCACATTTGCCATCGTTTGCTTTTCGTTCTGCACRCGCTCATACGCTGTTTGCAAATAAAAAACACAAGAGGACATTAGCAACAAAGATAGAGCGCGCGCAGTAGACGCGCACAGAAAAACAGACGATCAAATGAATGATTCTAAAAAAATTGCATMAAAGAGTGTTCATAATGGGGCGCGCGGATTCCTTCTCTTAGTATRTTTTCTCTTGACAGCACTGTATTCACTACTATTTACTCACACACACACACTACTCACATGCTGTGTGGGTTTTATAGTAAATCAAAGCGTTTCTACGAATGTAGAGCACTTTGTAGATAAAAAAGATGTGACGCCCCCCGGAAAAAAATCTGACTCGGAAACCTGACACCAACTTCACTTTGGTGTCTTTCAGGAACGGGGTAAGAAGCGATCTCGACCCAATCGGGCAAACCTTTTACGTTGAGATTTCTTGTGATTTATCAGATCGCATATCCCAGATACAGTTTAAATTTCGTTTTTATTGAAACGTAAAGGGCGCACGCGCGCAAGTTGATGGCGCACGGGAGTAGGGCAATGCGAAATTTAAACTGTATCCGGTTACTAAAAATAGCCCAATGGCGCGCTYGTTATGAAGAAGTTTCCCTTTCTCATTTATGCTCTTGATCTTAAATATAATGTCAATTTATCACTGATGTTTTCGTGTACTTTCCCTATCTATATCTTAGTTCCCGATCTCTCATATTAATATTTATCATTGATATGACCGTATGTATAAAAATCAATTGCAGATGTCTGGTTTTGATGGAATAGAGGAACTGGCGAAAATAAAAGCGTCGACGACTAACGAAGAAGTATGTACATTCTACGACAAATGGGCCAAGGATTATRAAAAGGTATAAGTCAGTACCCACCATTTAATGATATTTGATATGATATTGATTGATKGATGGATATCGATTATCTTTATTGCTCTTTAGTGTTACGTCAGGGTCTGGAAGGGGATGCCGGCCTCCCGAATCACGCGCTATAGTTCCACCGACATCCCGCATCCCGAGTCACGGCTGATGCCAATATCCCGTATCACGTAAGATTATTTCTAGTTTCCGGCATCCCGCGCTATATATTTTTTGTTTCCCGGCTCCCACGAATACCCTTCCAGACCCTGTTACATATACGACAGTATATATTTTTTAAGCAAAATTATTATAATATAATAATATAGAGGCTGACAGCTAAATTAACTGGAAAATTTTCTAGATAGCCCCAGAMATTTTGTTTCTAATTAATAGCAGGTAAAAGGAATTTATAAGAAAAAGGTTAAAGCTAAGTTAATATTTAGCAGTGGTATTTGCACAGAGTATCTCTTTATCCACTGAATTCCACTAAATTGGAATTTAGACATTCGTTTTTACAGAATGAAGGAACTGTATAGAACCTGGTACCCTGGGTGCCAGAGGACGTGTGGGGCTTGGGGGCGAGAGAGAGAGAGGGAGGAGGTCTCTGGCACCCAGGATAAGAACCTGGTATAAAACCCTTGCAGTGCAGTCTAAAGAATCAGCAAGCAACTCTACTCACATATGACCCGAGTCGGCCTTGGGAGAGGTTAGCGCTCTCACCCATACGCTACCCTTGTTTCCCTAATTCCTATCTACTCACTCTTTTCACGATGGAGCGTGCCATCAATAACCGTGTGCCAACTGAGTTGGAGTTCTGTGCATTGTACTAGTGATCTCATGTTTGTAAAATATAAGCTCCGCTGCCTATGGAAACCGGCTTTGCTCACTTTTAGCTGCTTGTCATGTTTAGGACTGTGTCACTCTCAAATTCGTCGGGCACAAAACGTTTGTCGATATATTTGATCAAGAGATGACAAAGATTTACAAAGACGACAGGTTCAACAAGAAGATCCTTGATGTTGGAGCAGGGACTGGGATTACCGGACAGCAAATGAGAGATGTTGGTTACAAGAACGTTGATGCGCTGGATATCTCTCCGAAAATGCTCGAAATCGCACGCGGCAAGGGTGTCTACCAGAAAATCATTTGCGCTGCTCTAAATGATCAGAAAATAGAAGAGATTAAGACGGGTCAGTATGATGCAACCATCAGCACTGGGGCGATCCATATTGGGCATATCAAACCGGACGCTTTTGATGAGATTTTACGCCATGTTAAGCCAGGTATGTAAATGGAATAATCATTAGACCCCATAGGTAGCTTAAGTTAGTTGGTTGGGTGGTTGGGTGGGTGGGTGGTTATATCATCTTATTCTTTTGCGACATTAACATGCTTACACAACAATAATATCAGGTTGAGGACTGAAGCGGCTCGATAGAGCGAAACTGATATTTACGAACTTAGTTCAACGTGAAATCTTGTAACATAGTGGAGTTTCAAAGTAGAAATAGAAGATGGTTGCACAAATTAACTTAAATATCAACAGCASCAAAGTCGAGATTTGTCTGTTCGATACGTGACGTTATAGAATCTTTCTAAAGGCAGAGCACAGGGAACCCGGCTTTTGGTGTCTTTGYCCGGTAGATGACTTTGCTCTTTATGGGTTGCTTGTGATTATCCGTCGGTTAACGGTTTAAACTGTAATCATCAGATCTAAACCTTTGGGTATTGCCTTATTGGGCATTATTTGGGACGAGAGGTAATACTAGAGAGTGCTTATGGATTTAATGGCCTATTGATTTACGCCAGGTCAGATCC